CGGGCACCCGGGAAAATCCCCGACGCACCGCACCCGGGCACCCGGGCACCCGGGCACCCCGGCACCTGGGAAAATTCCCGACGCACCTCACCTGAGCTTATGAATCCGCTAGGACACCTACAGAGGCAAGCTCTGATTGGGGAACTATGCGAGAGCTTCGCGCGCGCTCAGGCTCCAGCACCCCCGAGCCCTCGACGAGCGTACAACTGCGTACACGTCCCTTGCCACCGTTTCCCCGCCCGTCGAAGACCTCTAAGCGGCCTGTTCGGGGTCTCCTGGGCCCGACTGGAGCTCCTCTTGGGCTTTGGGGCATCTCGGGCTGTTGTGGAGCGTCGGGGTGACCTTCTGGGAGTGATTTCTTAGCGATGCGGTGCCTCTTCGGGCTGTCCTGAAGGTGTCTTGGGGCTTCGGAGGGGCCTCTTGGGCAGTGTGGGTGCCTTCTTGGGGGCCTCTGAAACGGTCTTGGGGCTAGTTTTGGAGCGTCGGCGAGCCGAAAAGGCGGAAGCCCGAAAAACCTGCACAAAATGCAGCAAAACGAATCAATTGTGCTTCGTGGGGCCCTCTCGGGGGGCGTTCGGGAATCGTTTGGAAACATTCTGGGGGCGTTGTGGGCCGTCTGGAAGCTGTCAACGAGCGCCTTGGGGGCGGTGTGGGCCACGTGGGTGCCGTCGTGAGCGTCTGGGAGTGATTTTCCAGCGATTCGGGACATTCTTCGGCTGTCCTGGAGGTCTCTTGGGCAGTATTTGATGCGTCGCGGGCAGTCTCGGCGCCCTCTCGAGGGCCGGGGCCTCTTGTGCGGTCTTAGGGTGAGCTTTCGTGTGCTGGTTGGGCTGCCTTGGAGGCGCCTTGGATCCCTCTTGGAGCGCTTTGGGAGCGCTGTGGGCTGTCTGGAAGCTCAGTGCCTATGGATCGTCGTGGACGACCTGGGAGGCGCGGTGAGCGTCTGGAGGTGATGTCTTAGCGATTTGTAGCCGTTGTGGGCTGTCCTGCAGGTCTCTTGGGCCTTCGGTGGGGCCTCTTGGGCAGCGAGAATGCCCTCTTGGGAGCCTCTGAAAGAATCTTGGGGCAAGTTTTGGAGCTGCTGGGGCTGATCCAGAGCGCCGGCGAGCCGAAAAAACGCAAGGCCCGGAACCATCAAAAACACATGGAAAACCAATAAAGTTGACCTCTTGGGGCTCTCTTGGGGGGCGTCTGAAAAACCCCCTTGGAACGTCCGAGGGGGTCCTTTTGGGCCGTCTGGAAGCCTTCGTGGAGCGCCCTGGGAGCGGTGTAGGCCATCTGGATGTTATCACGGGCGTCTGAGAATTATTTTCTGGCGGCTCGGGGGCGAGTCGGAGCTCTCTAGGTCAGTCTTGGGCACCTCTGGCGCCCCCGGAACCCCCCATGCGCTGTCAAGCCCCGGGCCCAGGGAACCCAAGGCCTCGCGGACGAGGACATATATACATATACACGTACACGTACAAATTCACATTCACGCGCGCGCACACACATACACACACACACACACACGCATGCACGCACACACATATACACACACACACATACGCACACACACGCGCGCACACGCGCTCGCACGCTCGCTCTCACGCACGCACGCACGCATGTACATACATATACATATATTCATGTTGGCATAAACATGTGTATACATGTATAAAAATATCTGATATATATAAATATATATATATATATATATATATATATACATCTATATTTATATATATATGTGTAAATGTATATGCACAAATAAATATACTAGAACCGTCGCGCGCTTCGCGCGCGCTTAAATTATAGCTGATCGAGTGCTGACCGCATTGAGACAACAAGGCGGCCATGAATAATGAGGTCAGCATTCTCTGATTCCTCCTGCCTCTTCCTCATTGTTCCTCCTCCACTCTCATCGGGCCGTCGACACGCGATCTGTCGTCAAGTTTCTTGGGGACCTCTTGACCCCTCCTGGGGGTCTCCTGGGGCGAAGATCTCGGGTTCTCGGTTCACGTTCCCGATAGTGGTCTTCGGCCCATCCCGCCACCGTGCCTGGGTTGTGGGTTAGAGGTCTCTTAGAAATTCGTTTGGAATTCGTGGGAGGCTTCCTGGGGGCCTCTTGCATGCAGAGTTGGAGACCTCTTGGGGGCCGTCTGGGGTGCTCGTGGCCCTTTGGGGCCTCTAAGGCATCTAGGGGGCCTCTTGGGCTCTGTTGGGGGCCTCTTGGGGCCTCCTGGAGGCCTCTTGGGGCGGAAGGCTCGAATTGTCGGTTCGTGTTCCCCCTCTTGGGCCCCTCTTGGGGCCGTCTTGGGGCCCTCTTGGGCAATCTTGGGCGCCTCTTGGGCGCCTCTTGGGCCGTCTTGGCGCACTCTTGGACCGTCTTGGGACTCTCTTGCGCCGTCGTGGCGTCCTCTTTGGGTGCCTCTTGGGCCGTCTTGAGCTGATTTCTGGGGCCTCGTGGGCTGTCTTGGACCGTCGGAAGCACGAAACAGCGAGAACACGAAAAACCGTCAAAAACACTCGAACTAACCAACAGCTTTCGCCCCCTGAGTGCCTCGTGGGAGTACTTTTGAGGGTACCTTGGCAGTTTTGAAGCCCTCATGGGCTCTCTTCAAGCCATGTTGGACCAATTTTGAAACTCTCCTGTGCGGTCTTGGGCTCTCTTGGAGCGCTCTTGGGTCATCTTGGCGCCCTCTTGGACGTCTCTCGGCCCCCTTTGACGTTTTTTGGCGCCCCCCTTCAGCTGGGGGGGAAGCCACTTGAGCTTCCAAAGCCAAAGAAACCAACATAACCAAACATACGCAGTGTTTCCTTGTATCCTAGACAAAAGAACCAGAAACACGGAAAAACAGCGTTTTCTTGCATCGAGGGCGCCAAACACTGTGTATTTATGTTTGTCTTGCTTTGCAACAGGGAGGAGGAAAAAAAGGAGGAGGTGCTGGGGGGGGAGGCTCCACCGAAGACGGCAGTGGCGCAGTTCGCATGCGTCTCTCCCACCCATGACAACGCTTCGTGGCCCCATAAGGAGCTCCAACGAAGGTCCCAATGGCGCAGTTCGCATGCGTCTCCCCCACCCAGGACAACGCTTCGTGGCCCCATAGGGGGCTCCACCGAAGGCCCCAGTGGCGGTGTCCACATGCGTCCGCGCCACCGATTTCGGCGCACCCCTCGCACGTTTCGTGGCCCAATGGGGAGCTCCACCGAAAGCGGTACCCACAATGCGGCACTCACTGCTGCATATGGTTGGGTCCTTCGGCAGGCTGATGTTTGACTGCTTTCGAAGACATTCTCCCGCAGAGGGACAAGCCCGACTTAACGCCCGAGCCCCACGTCGCCTCCGCCACGCACCCGAGCGCGCGCCAGTCGGCGCCGACGGCCTCGGCGGCCAGCGCGCCGTCCGCGCGCAGCTCCTCGCTGGCGTGGGCGAGGGCGCGCGGGCAGACCTGCAGAGCCTCTCCAAGGGCGTGGCGGGGGAGGGGGGCGCCGGGCACCTCCTGCTCCTGCGCCTGCTCCGCCTCCTGCTCCTGCTGCTCCTCCGGCTCCGCCTCGCCTCGGCTCGTGTAGGGCACGGGTGCGCCCGACGCCCATCCTCTGGGCGAAGTGAGGAGAAGAAAAAAGAAAGAGAAGAAAAGATAAAGATAAAGAGAAAGAGAGAAGAAGAGAAGAGAAGAGAAGAGAAGAGAAGAGAAGAGAAGAGAAGAGAAGAGAAGAGAAGAGAAGAGAAGAGAAGAGAAGAGAAGAGAAGAGAAGAGAAGAGAAGAGAAGAGAAGAGAAGAGAAGAGAAGAGAAGAGAAGAGAAGAGAAGAGAAGAGAAGAGAAGAGAAGAGAAGAGAAGAAGAGAAGAGAAGAGAAGAGAAGAGAAGAGAAGAGAAGCTATGATAATATAATGTAACCGCATAGAAGAAAACTACGATATGATACAGTAAGAGAAGATAACGGAAGGGAAGGGAAACTATGATATGGTATGGCATGGGAAGGGGATATAACCGATATGTGTATATATATGCGTGGAGAGGAACGAAAAGAACGAGAGAGAGAGAGAGCGAGATCAAGAACGAAATAGAGCCCTTTATATATATATATATATATATATATATATAGAGAGAGACATCTAGAGATAGGTATAGAGCTCGAGTGCCACAAAACTGCAATGCAACCCACAACAGCAAGCAATAACAGCACCACGAAAACAACAACAACAACAACAACAACAACAACAACAACAACAACAACAACAACAACAACGACAACGACGACGACGACAACAACAACAGCAGCAACATCAACAACACCACTACCACAATCAACAACAACAGCAGCACCAACAGCAATACTAATACAAGCAACTGAACAACTCAAAGCGACAACTGTCACAAACATCAACCCAACAACAGCAGCAACAACAACACAACAAAACAACAACACTGTGCTACATTAAAACTTGACAAAACAACAACATCTTGACACTACGGACATCATATCAACAAAAACGGCATTCCCCATGAAACAAATGAATTCTCGAGAGAGAGAGAGGATAACATAAAACATGCAAGAATACTTAAACACAAACAACCAGTGTGCAACATGCAGTCCCCCCTCTCGCGTTGGAGATGACGGTCCTTTGGGCGGCCCCAGCCGAAGGAATATCCCATTTCCCCCCATCGCCCTTGGTGCAACTATCCTCTGGAGGATCTCCTCAGAGGGAGAGACGGGAGGCAAGCAGTGGTAGAGCGGAGGCGGGCAGGTCTTGGCCTTGCTGGTGCTCCAGTCGCAATGCTCTTTCCAATCCAAACGAAACCTCATGGCAACGACTGCGATGCCCCGAGATTCGGCCCTCGAGGGCTTTCGGCGGCCCTCGGCGGCCCCCGAGGGCCTCGGCGGCCCTCCGCGGCCCTCGACGAGGGCCCCACCGGCCGCTCTCCGCGGCCCTCGAGGGCCCGATCGGCGGCACTCCGCGGCCCTCGAGGAGGGCCCCATCCGCGGCCCTCCTCCTCCTCCTCCTCCTCCACCTCCACCACCTTCTCCTCCTCCTCCTCCTCACCCTCCTCTTCCTCCACCACCTTCTCCTCCTCCTCCTCCTCCTCCTTCTCCTCCTCCTCCTCCTCCTCCTCCTCATTCTCCACCTCCTCCTCCTCCTCCTCCTCCTCCTCCTCCCCTCTTCCTCCACCACCTCCTCCTCCTCCTCCTCCTCCTCCTCCTCCTCCTCATCCGCCTCCGCCTCCGCCTCCGCCTCCGCCTCCGCCTCCGCCTCCGCCTCCGCCTCCGCCTCCTCGTCCTTCGAGGAGGGCCCCATCGGCGGCCCTCCGCGGCCCTCGCGGAGGGCCCGATCGGCGGCACCCCGCCGCGCGACGCCCCGCAGCCCTCGCGGAGAGCCTGCCGCACGAAGGCGCGGTCGGCGCGCAGCGCCTCCGGCGCGAGGGACAGCGCGCCGGGGCCGGCGGCCAGCGCGGCCAGCAGCACGCCATCGTCGCCTCGGCGGAGGACTAGGAGGAGGATGAGGAGGAGGAGGAGGAGGAGGAGGAGGAGGAGGTAGAGGAGGAGGAGGAGGAGGACGACGACGACGACTGTCTCCTGGCGGAGGGGACAGAACGAGCATCGTTGAACCGATCCCTATCCCGACCAGCGCGGCCGGCGTCGTCGGGGTCGTCGTCGTCGCCGCCGCAGTCGTCGTCGTCGTCGCCGCCGTCGTCATCGTCGTCGTCGTCGTCGCCGCCGCCGCCGTCATCGTCGTAATCGTCGTCGTCGTCGTCGTCGCCGCCGTCGCCGCCGCCGCCGTCGTCGTCGTCGCCGTCGTCGCCGTCGTCGTCGTCGCCGTCGTCGCCCTCGTCGTCGTCGTCGCCGCCGTCACAGGCCGATTTACTCCCCCTTAGATGGGCTGCAGCAGGCTGTTCCTTTCGGGTTTCGACGGGTACATCCCCAACTGGGGTGGTGGGACGGTGGGGAAAGGCATAAGGATGGGGATGGGGATCTGGATCGGTTAAACGATGCTGACGCAAAGATGCGCCAGCACCGCTGCTCCGCTGAGGGGCAACGATGGGCAGGCAGGCTAACGGGGGGGGAAACATCCAGCCGGAATCGGCGATGCATCGCCGATGAATCGGCAGTACACCCCCGCTAGTGAAGCCGCATGCTCCTTGACGGGTTGGGCCCATTGGCGGGGCCCCTCGTCGCCTCGGCGGGGGGACGAGACGAAAGGTTCGGCGGCTCCGAAGGGTGTGGTTTTAAGTCGGGCATGTCCCTCTACAGGAGAAATACGCAAAAATTGTAACAATATACCCTGGGGAGGATTTGTTCCTACTATTTTTTATGTTCTGATTATTTGTCATGTTTCGTCGAAATCCCCCTGTAGGGAGGCACGTCCGACCTACGTGTGGTTTGCAAAGGGTGTGGTTTGCAGCCCGCGCCTGGGAGAGGCGGGCGAGAATCTCCACAAAAACCCTGCCGCGCCCCGTTAGCTCCACGTGGTAACCTCCTCAGCCGCACAACGGCGCCGATCGCAGACACCGCTCTGGCGTGAACCACATCCAGTGTGGTCGGCAAGAGATGTCGGCACCGCTGCTCCACGGGCCTCGCCCAGGGCCAAAACTTCGAGGGAAAATCTTGAGGCCTCGCGCGGCAATCTGAGGCCCGTTCCACATCGGATACACGTCGCATTCGCTCGAGCGACGATTTAAAACGGGTCTTACGCGAAAAGACGCAGAGACCTTGCGCGGTGGCGTACGCGGGCCGCCAGCGCGGCAAGCCACAGTGGAGACGAGGACGCTTACGCGCGAGCTTACGCGGGCAGCTTACGCGCCAATGCCGACGCAATCGAACCCGCCTCCCTTTGTCGCTCACGTCGGATTCACGTCTTAAGTCGAAATCGGATTTACGCTGGGCCTGCGTCGGAATATCGCCGCGCGAACATCGTCCCACATCTTACGGGGCAGGCGTGCGGACTAGAAGACACAACTGTTGCGCGCCGCGCAAGGCCTCACGGATTTTCCTCCTAACGAATCCGGCCGTAGGCACAAATCATTGCCCGAGGCACGTGCGCGGCCCATGGGGAGAGGGGGGGGGGCAAGGGGCCGTGTTGAGAGATGAAGGGGGCCATGAAATTCAAGGGGCCCCGGGACACACAAATAAATGGACACAAAAATCCCAGGGTCCCCCCTGCTCTCCCAAATGTTCTGGGCTCTCGTCTTCCCCCCCGCTTCCCATGTGTTCCCATATGCTCCTTGGAGTCGACGGTGAATTGTGTCTGAGTGTGTTCTTTTCCCGCCTGAATGATATCCACCCCGCTGGTCGGGGGCAGTCAACAGGGGGGCGTCCAAGAGGGGAGGGCGCAAATTATGGCTGGCGCCATGTGCACGGCCCCGGGGGGGGGGGGGGCGGGGACGCCGGGGACGTATTGAAATAAGAAGAGGCGCCATGAAATTTGGGGAGGGGATATCATGGCCCCCGCCATGATATCCAAGCCCCCCTAGTCATCACCACCCTCTTCGCCGCCCCCGACCCCCGCTTAGCCCGACGCTGGTGCGGATCGCCTCCGCCTCGCCGCCGACAAAGAAGGGTCGTCGGAGCATCGGAATCGAATCGGCGTTCGGGCCGCAACTCGGGCCTCTGGCGGCCGTTCGAGACCATGCGGGCATCCCCTTGCACGCTCTCGGCAAGGCGCAGCAGCTGCCGGAACGGATCAAGAGGCAGGAGCCTCCAAGGCCCAGGCGAACCCGTCTGGAAGCCCGTCCGAAACTCGATCCTCGAACTTCGGAGCCAGGCGAATTGAGACGACGGCAGCTCAAAATCCGTCCCCCGGGCTCAAAATCCGTCCCCCGGACCGCACCTAGGGTCCAAACGCACTAGATGTTTCAGAGCTGCGTCCCGCCATAGCGACGAGGGGGCCCCTCGAAGGTCGTCTACCGCTCTCAACTCGCCCTCCTTTGAGAACCTCGACTGGCCGAATCGGGTCGATCGAATCGAGCAGGGTCCTGCGAGTTTTTGGCGGCGCCCAGCGGGCGGCTAAGAAGGTGGCGGGGTGTCTAAGAAGGCAGGGGGGGGCTGCTCAGAAGCCTTCATAGAAGCCTGCGGGGAATTCTACGAAGGCCTATGCCTGGTACGAAGCTCCTCCACCTTCGTAGAATTCGGGAACCCGAAATCCTGTGGTCACGGACCGCGTGTGGACCTCGGAATCCCCCAGGGACCCGGTCTCGGGACACTTTGGGGCCCTGATCGCACGAGCCGTCCTCGGAGAACGAGCCGAGCCGCAAAACCCTGTGGTGACCCCGAACCCCCGGCGGACTCACCGCGCGGCGTTCGTTGGCGACGCGCAAGGGGGCAGGAGAGCCCAGAATCGAATCGATAAGTCGGATCGGCAATCGAATTAAATCGGATCGGCGGAAATCGGCAGCCCAGTCGGGAACAGTCGAATCGGCGGAAATCGACAGGTTAGCAGGCCTGCACTGGGAAATCGGAGACCGAATCAGAATCCGAGCCATCGAAATCGAATCGAATCGTCGGAATCGAAATGAGCCCTGCAGGGGGGTAGCGCGAGGGGGGCGGCCTTTTACGAAGGCCGGAGTTACTTCTACGAAAGAAAGGGTCGGCCCAGCTCCTGGCTCCCGAGAAGCCTTTTGGGAAGAGGCTGGGTCCAGGTGAGGAGGCTGGGTCCAGGGGCAGGGCCAGCGGGCGAGAGGGGCTGGGGCCAGAACCAGGGGGGAGGTTGGGTCCAGTGCCAGGACCAGGGGGGCGACGACGAGGGGGGCTGGGGCCAGGACGAAAGGGGGGCTTGGTCCAAGGCCAGGGCCAAGGGGACGACGACGAACGAAAATGAAGAGTCTGGCGCGAGGGGGCCTGGCCAGGGAGGAGGCAGGGTCCAGGGCCATGGCCATCGGGGCGAGAGGGGCTGGGGCCAGGACCAGGGGAGAGGTTGGGCCCAGGGCCAGGGCCAGGGGGCCGAGCCCAAGGCTCAGGGCCTGCGGGGCGAGGGGGGCTAGGGCCAGGACCAGGAGGGAGGTTGGGTCCAGGGCCAAGACCAAGGGACGACGACAAACGAAAATGAAGGGGTCCGAGCTCTAAAACACACCTGTGCAAAAGAATGAACGCAACGGGGCGGAGGGGGCGCTATGGCTGGTGGGTGGGGGGATGCGGAGGGGGCGCGAAGGATGGGAGGGAGAGTGGTGCCGTGCCGAAATACAGGTGTCGGGGCGAGCGGGGCGCGCTGGTTGTTGGATTCCAACGTGGGTCTGTTACTATAGACAGGGTCATGAAACAAAAGTTGAAACACAGATTATGTCTATCTGTGTATGTGCGGTCTGGCAAAGCGGGGCGGCATGGACTTGGGCCTTTGGCCTGGAAGCACGTCGCGCACGACTACCCAAATCATGAAGTACTGCAACCGATCGTTGTGTTATTTTGTTGGGGGTCACGGACGCAGAGAACACGCTGGCGCCCGACTCATCCTCATGCCCCATACCCCGCCTCCCCCATATCCTTTCGCTTTGGCCCCACCCTCCTCGCGCCCCTCCGACTACCCCCAGTCCTCATCATGCCCCTCATCCACATTGTCAACCCCCCATATGCCAGTTCACGTCGTTCCTCGTCGTCCTCCTCCGCCGGATGAATTCCCCCATCGTCCACAGACCTGCCCTCCTCCCATCCTCTACGCCCGAGTGCAGATCTCATCCTCGCGATGCTGACACCGATGATGCAGCTCCTCCTGGGCCCAGTTCCTCCCCTCTCGTCCTGTCCCTTTCATCCCTGGCCCCTTTCGCCACCCCTCCTATCGAACCCCTTCCCTCCCATAGCCCGCAATCCCCACCCCCATCGCGCCTTTGCGCTCCCAGACAACAGCCCCTTCCTGGACCAGCCGGGAGATCCGTGAAAACGCCCACCCAGCGACCACTCCAGCGAACGGCGCGCAACAAATGCACAATTGGAGACACGAACTGGGTATTTCGACGTTGTACGACGCTCTCTGGACCTGCCGAAAGAGAAAGGTGCAAACTCCCGCCCAAGAAACACCGCCCGCGAGGGGCGCGCTCCAAATACACAGATGGAAACAAGATCTGCGCAGTTGAAGACACCAACTGTGCACGCAGATCACACCTTGATCTGCGCATTTCGTCAAAAAAACAAAAACAAAAAAACGCTCGCCACCTCGAGGGCACCGCGGCTTTGCCAACATAGAACCGAACATGCCCAGCTAAGGGGGAATGCAAATACACATTTCCCCGGACGGGCGCCCCCGAGGGAGCTGCAAATACGCGGTTCCCTGGCCTGGGGCGGCCGCAGTGACACGCGGCGCCACGGCGGCCCCCAACGGCCCGAAGACGCCCCAAAAAGGCCCCGAACGACCTCAAAGAAGGCCGCGCAGCAATCCGAGAACACGAGAGGTGTTACGTGTCATGGACTTCTTAACAGTCAACGTCCCACGCGTCGCCATACAGACCGTTGCAATGGCAAGGGGGCGGACCATGCCGTAGGCACCGATACATTTACATGTTACCGATGCGAGTGCGCTCGGCGGCCGTGCCGCCCGCGTTTCGAGTGCGCCCCAAACGCTCGCACAGGCAACCCCCTCTGTTTGATTGCGCCGCTGTGCTCGGATATCGAAAGGGCGGTATGCCGCTGATACGGGCACGCGGCACCAGGGACTTCACTTCCCTTCTTCGACCAAGGAAAGAAGACGAGGTAGGACGACCGACGGTGGAGCAGGGAGGCAAGGAGAAACGAGGAATACTGGAGGAGGTGGAAAGGGGCGCTGCCCCGCCCGAGCCGCGGACGCTTTCGACACCATCCAAGGGGAGGAGAAAGGAGGGGGGCGGAGCACGGGCGAGGACGACGACAGGAAGCAAACTGTCCTCGGCCCACGTATAGCCTTATGCTTGCGATTCGGGTGCGCGCGCCTTCTTCGAGGCACTTCAAGCCCGATCCATACTGAATTCATTCATTCCATCCAACTGTTTAAATTCCAAGCTGCCTGGCGCGTGGGGCGATGCAAAGGGGGCGCACGGGATGGGGGGGCCGTGCCGAAATAAAAATGTCGGGGCGGAGGAGGCGCGCTGGGTGGTGGGCGGGGTGGCGCGGAGAGGGCGCGCGGGATGCGGGGGGGGCGGTGCCGCGCCGAAACAAAGGGGTCGGGGCGGAGGGGGCGCGCTGGCTGGTGGGCGGGGCAATGCGGCAATGCGGCGGGGGCGCAGGCCGGAGGGGGCGCGCTGGCTGGTAGGTGGGAGAATGCGGAGGGCCTATAGCGAGGGGTCGGGGCGGAGCGGGGCCGTGCCGAAATCAAAGAGTCGAAGCGGAGGGAACGCGCTGGCTGGTGGGTGGGAGATGCGGAAGAGGCGCTCGGATGCGGGGGCGGTGCCGCGCCGAAATAAAAGATGTCGGGGCGGAGGGGGCGTCTTTGCTGGGGGCGGGGGCGCGGAGGGGGCGCGCGGGATGTGGGGGGGCGGTGCCGCGCCGAAGTGACAATGTCGGGACGGAGGTGGCGCGCTGGCAAGTGGATGGGGCGATGGAGGCGGCGCTCGGGATGGGCGATGCGGCGCCGTGGCAAAATACAGGTGCCGGGGCGTAGGAGGCGCGCTGCCTGGCAGGCGGGGCGACGCAGAGCGGGCGCATGCCGCGCCGAAAGCTCCGGGCGGAGGGGGCGCTCTGGCTGGCGGACGGGGCGGCGCGGAGGGGGCGCACTGGCTGGCGGGCGGGGCAACGCGGAGGTGGCGCGCGGGATGGGGCGGGGGTCGCGCCGAAATAAAAGGTGTCGGGGCTGAGGGGGCGCTCTGGCCGGCGGGTGGGGGGCCGCGGGGGGGCGCGCGGAGTGGGGGAGGTGGGGGGGGGGGGGGGCGGCGCCGTGCTGAAATAGATAAGTCGGTGCGGAGGGGCGCGCTGGCTGGTGGGTGGGCAAATCGGGGGGGGGCGTGCAGGATGAGGGGGGCGTGCCGAAATGGAGAGGTCGGGGCGGAAACAGCGCGCTGGCTGGCTGGCGGAGCGGGCGGGGCGATGCGGAGGTGGCGCGCGGGATGGGGGGGCGGTGCCGAGCCGAAATCAAGCGGTCGGAGCTCTAGACACCCTGCGCAAGAGAATAAAACGGCCGGGGCGGAGAGGGTGCGCCGGGGTCGAGGCGGAGGGCCTGGCTGCGCGGAAGGCGCGGGGGGGGAGCGGTGCCGAGCCGAAATAAAGAAATCGGGGCGGAGGGGGGGCGGCGCCGCGCCAAAAGAAAACGATCGAGGCGGAGGGGGCGCAGGGCGGGGGGGGGCCGGTGCCGTGCCGACTTAAAACAAAAATATCCCAGCAAACCAACCTAACAGCGATGTGTAGAAGCATATCTGAAAGCATTCCCCTTAAGATTCAGATGAAAATCCAGTTGTAGAATTCTGCTGTTCTCGCAGTCGTAGTCGCATTCGCGATGACAGTCGCAGCGGCAACGGCAGTCGCAGTCACAGCCTCAGCCTCAGCCTGCCTCAGCCTCAGCCTCAGCCTGCCTAGCCTCAGCCTGCTTCAGCCTCTGCCTCAGCCTCGGCCTCAGCCTCAGCCCTCAGCCTCAGCCTGCAGCCTCAGCCTCAGTCTGCCTTCAGCCTCAGGCCAGCCTCAGCCTCAGCCTCTCAGCCTTCAGCCTCGGCCTCAGCCTCAGCCTGCCTCAGCCTCAGCCTGCCTCAGCCGCAGCATCAGCCTGCCTCAGCATTCAAAATGTGGCCCAGGAATGCAGTTCTGGGAACTCGAAGAACACGAAGTGGCCTACAGTTGGCTCCGGGCATTCAAAATCATGCCCAGGAATGGAGTTCTGGGAACTTGAAGAGCACGAAGTGGCCTACAGTTGGCTCCGGGCATCCAAAATGTGGCCCGGGAATGGAGTTCTGGGAACTCGAAGAGCACGAAGTGGCCTACAGTTGGCTCCGGGCATCCAAAATGTGGCCCGGGAATGGAGTTCTGGGAAGTCGAAGAGCACGAAGTGGCCTACAGTTGGCTCCGGGCATCCAAAATGTGGCCCGGGAATGGAGTTCTGGGAGCACCAAGAGCGATTTTGCGAGGATGTCCCAAGCGATTTCGGCTTCGGCGGCAGCCTGTCCGGGTCCCGCCCAGACCCCCCTGAGGAGTCATGATGCTCTCTTTTGAGACCACTAGAAACCTATCAGCAAGAGCTGTTAGGTAATCAAGGCAACAAAAACTGACTGCGCGGGCAATGCCAGGACGACGCGGTTTCAAAAACTTCTGCGTGCGCCGACACCGCGCGAACCTACTGAAATTAGCCTGGCGAAGGACCCAACCATATGCATGCAGCTGCGAGAGCCGCATTGTGGGCACTGCTTTCGGTGGAGCTCCCTCTGGGGCCGCGAAACGTGCGAGGGGTGCGCCGAAATTCGCGCATGTGGACACCACCACTGGGACCTTCGGTGGAGCTCTCTATGGAGCCACGAAACGTTGTCCTGGGTGGGGGAGACGCATGCGAACTGCGCCATTGGGACCTGCGTTGGAGCTCCTTATGGGGCCACGAAGCGCTGTCATGGGTGGGGGTAACACGTGCGAACTGCGCCACTGCCGCCTTCCGTGGAGCTCCTCGTTGGGCCACGAAACGCTATCCTGGGCGGGAGAGGCGCATGCGAACGGCGCAACTGGGACCTTCGGTGGAGCTCTTTATGGGTCCGCGAAACATTGTCCTGGGCGGGGACGACGCATGCGAACGGTGCCGCTGGGGCCTTCGGTGGGGTTCCCTGTGGGGCCACGAAACGCTGTCCTAGGTGGGGAAGCCGCATGCGAACGGTGCCACTGGGGCCTTCGGTGGAGCTCCCTTTGGGGCCACGAAGCGCTGCCCTGGGCGGGGGAGACGCATGTGGACACCACCAATGGGGCCTTCGGTGGAGCACCCTATGGGGCCACGAAACGCTGCCCTGGGTGGGAGAGACGCATGCGGACCCTGCAACTGAACCCTTCGGTGGAGCTCCTTATGGGGCCACGAAGCGCTGTCCTGGGTGGCGGTGGCGCACGCGGACCCTGCCACTGGGGCCTTCGGTGGAGCTCCCTGTGGGGCCACGAACCGTGTGAGGAGTGTGCCTACATGGGTGGCTTTGACGCATGCGAAGCCCGAAGAAACGGCCGAACCCCCTTTCTGGCGGCGTTCCGCCACGATGAGCTTTTGCGATTCGACCCGCGCGTCCAAAATCTGAAGGAAAACTGGGAGGGGGCTCGCCGGCAAAAGGTAGCGGAACGCATGCAAACCGAAGGAACGCCCGAGCCCCTTTTGAAAAGTGAGTGTTCCTTATCCCGGCGCCTCACTGTAGGGGATCCTTGCCTCTCGACGAGTGAAACGATCGCGCCGCCGAGCTCGAGGGCCCCCGACCCTCGCGGCCGCGCGGCGAAGCCGCGGGGGGCTCTCGGGGCCGCCGCGCGGCTTTTGGGGGGGTCGCGGGCCGTCCTCCACGCGCACGGCTCGGAGGCCCCTCCTGGAGCTTGTCTGACTCGGGGGGGCGGTGTCGTCTTGTAAGTTCTTTTGGGAGGTCGCCGGGCCCTGTCGAAGACCAGGGTCCCCCCCTAGGGACACAGACACAAACACAAAAGCTCTGAGGACCGCGCGGATTTCTCGGATCAGCGTTGGACCCCCCTCCCTGGCGAGCGGAGCGCCAGGGGCGGCACCGAAGGCGCCGCCAGGGGGCTCCAGCGCCGATCCAAGAAATGTCCTACCTCAGGGCCCCGGGGCCACGCGATAGCGGACCTCGGCGGCGTGCCCAAAGGGGGTCGGGGGAGGAAGGAAGGCTCCTTGGAAGGCGGCTGTCCCCTAGAAGGCGCAGGGGCCCTACGTCTGCAGACAAGGCCCGCGCCTGCTGAGAAGCAGGGGTGCCTCTGGGGAGCCCCCCCTTCTCCCCCGAGCCGTGGCCGAGGACCACGCGGTGGGGTCGCCGGGGGGGCGCTCCCGGGTCCACGCGCGGCCCCCCCCCCGTTGGGGCGCCGCCGGAGATTGGCGGCCGCCCGGTCGCCGTGCACGGCGGGCGCCGCGCGGCGCAGGGCGCGCCAGTCCTGCCGCACCGCCTCCAGCAGGATCTCCCGGTCCTGCCGGGGGTCACCATCGCCCGGGGCTCCCGACCTCGCGCTTCGCGCTGCGGGGGAGCGCGAAGCGCGAAAAACATCGCGCGCTCGCGCCGCCCCCCAGGGGACAAGAAAGGGATGAGGAAGGGCTGGAGCCGAACCGCGAAGCGCGAATAAATTTCGCGCCTCATAGGGCGCCCTTGCATTGCCGTCGCCGACGGATGGAATGAGGGAAAACGATAGGGGGACAAGCATAGGGGGGGGGGGGGGGGCAAATCGACCTGGAATCGGTGATGCCTCGCCGATGGATCGGCGATAGGTCACCGACAGTTCTCCGCACGTTCCCAAGCAGGCTGAGGCTATCGGGGCCCACGGCGATCAGCGGGCGATTAGGCTGTCAACGCATCCCCGTCTACAGTGGGGGCCCGACCATGAAAAACCTTGCACAAGAAGCCCAACCCCGAGACCACAGGACGCCCATTGATTTTTTGTGTGGAAGCGTCGCGCTCTCCACAGCAAAACCATCGAAACCCGAGGAACCCAGGGCAACCTGAAAGCAAGCAGGGTGTTTCTTGGCATGGGCCCCCACTGTATGCCCATCCCCCCCTGTCAATGCCCCTGAAGGGGGGAAGGTGGAGGACCTGGGCTTCCTCTGGTCATGAAAAAATCCGAACAGACTGTTGTTGATGGTTTTCGGCTTCTGGGGGCCCTCGCTGGGACCCTAGGCCGTCGAGAAGCGGTTCGGGATGAAAGTCCATTCCCACCGAACGGGTCAAGACTCCAGACCTCCGGGGGTCCAAGTTGCGAAACAAACGACGTCGGGGGTCTGGGAAGGGGGGGTGGGATAGGAGAAAGAGGAGGAGGAGGAGGAGGAGGAGGAGGAAGAGGAGGAACAGGGGGAAAGAGAAGGACGACGATGATGAAGAAGAGAGACACACTCCCTCCTCCTCCTCCTCTCTCCTCCTCCTCCTCCTCCCTCCTCCTCCTCCTCCTCCTCCTCCTCCTCCTCCTCCTCCTCCTCCTCCTCTCCTCCTCCTCCTCCTCCTCCGTCTCCTCCTCCTCCTCCCCTCCCTCCCCCTCCCCTCCCCTCCCCCTCCCCCCCTCCCCCTCCTCCTCCCTCCTCCTCCTCCTCCTCCTCCTCCTCCTCCTCCTCCTCCTCCTCCTCCTCCTCTTCTTCTTCTTCTTCGTCTTATTCTTCTTATTATTGCTCTTCTTCTTCTTATTATTCTTCTTCTTCTTATTATTATTAATATTATTAGTATTATTAGTATTATTAGTACTATTATTATTATTGTTATCATCATTATTATTATTATTACTATTATTAGTATCGTTATTGTTCTTAGTATTCTTATTAGTATTCTTATTAGTCGTACTATTCTTATTGTTATTCTTATTAGTAGTATTATTATTATTGTTATTATTATTCTTAATCTTATTATTATTATTATGATTATTATTATTAGTACTATTATGATTACTGGTATCATTATTAGTAGTATTATTATTAGTATTCTTATTATTATTAGTCTGCTTCTTAGTAGTCTTAGTAGGATTAGTAATAGTATTCGTCGTAGTCTTAGTATAATTCTTAGTAGGGCTAATCTTATTCTTCGTATTAGTCTTGGTATTCTTATTATTAGTCTTATGATTAGTACGCGTATGATTATTATTCTTCGTATTATTCTTATTATTCGTATTGTTATTCTTCTGTTTAGTATTCTTATTATTCGTATTATTAGTACTATTATTAGTCTAGTATTAGTAGTAGTAGTATTATGTTTCTTAGTCTGATTATTAGTATTTGTATCATTATAAGTAGTATCCTCTCTAATCGTCTTATTATTACTACTCTTATTATTCTTATTATTAATATTAATTTTAGTATTCTTCTTATTAGTATTATTCTTATTATTGATAGTATTACTATATTGCGATTATCATTCTTATTATTAGTATTAGTCTTCTTATTCGCAGTATTCTTCTTAATAGTCATCTTATTATTCTTCGTATTCTTAGTATTCGTATTATTATTGTTACTATTCGTATTATTATTCGCAGTATTCTTAGTATTCTTCATAGTCTGGTTATTCTTCTTGGAATTAGTATTCATGTTCTTCTTCTTATTCATATTATTAGTGTTACTTTTAGTATTATTCTTATTCTATTATTTTATTATTGATATTCCTCCTCATCATCATCATCCTCCTCCTTTTCCTCCTCCTCCTTTCCTCCTCCTCCTCCTCCTCCTCCCTCCTCCTCCTCCTCCCTCCTCTCTCCTCCTCCTCCTCCTCCTCCTCCTCCTCCTCCTCCTCCTCCTCCCCTCCTCCTCCCTCTCCTCCTCCCCTCCTCCTCCTCCTCCTCCTCCTCCTCCTCCCTCCTCCTCCTCCTCCTCCTCCTCCTCCTCCTCCTCCTCCTCCTCCTCCTCCTCCTCCTCCTCCTCCTCCTCCTCCTCCTCCTCCTCCTCCTCCTCCACCTTCCCCTCCTCATCTGCCTCCCCCTCCCCCATCATCCCCCTCATCCTCCTCCCCTTTTCCCACGGCGAGGAAGACAACGACGACGACGACAAAAACAAAAACGACGACGATCATTGATCCTCCGGCTACGCGCACACGAGCGCGCACTAAACACAAAAGGAGAGAGGAGGAAGAGGAGGGAAGGGAAGACCAGGGCGGGGGAAAGACAAATGATGTTTTTGGTAAAGCGGACGCGCGTTCGCTCTCCGGCGCGAGCACGCGAGGGCTCGCGCAAGACGGCGCGCAGCGGTCACGGCTGCGCGCCTTTCGGCACGCTCGCCGGCCCATCGGCCAAGTGGCGAGAGAGCCCAAAGGGGGCGAAGCGGAGAGGGCGACCACTGGGTCTCGCGCCCGAGCGGCCGCAGAAACCAAAATTGGGGACCCAGAAACCCCTGCTCCCGCTGCACATAACCTGCAGTCTCAACGGAGAGACTATACAAGTCACGCGCAGATGCGCGCGCACGAACCACAAGAGGGGAGAGGAGGAAGACCACGGCGGGGGAAAGACAAGGATGATGTGTTCGGCAAAGCGGCCACGTGCTCGCTCTCCGGCGCGAGCCCGCAAGTGCTCGCGAAGCACAGAACGCAGCGGTCACGGCCGCGCGGCCCTCGGCGCGCTCGCCGGCCCATCGGCCATCATTCAAATCAAATTCAACCAGATACGCAGCACACAGGGCCACTCCCCTGCAACCTCGAGGCCTCCCTGGGCGAACGCCAGCCGCTTCAGCGGGGTCTCCGACGCGCGACAGGCAAGGGCTGCCGAGCGCGAAGGGGGCGCAGGGCACCCGAGAGGAGGAAGAAGAGGGGGGAAGCAGAACGCAAGAAAAAACATAGCGGGCGGCCCAGGAATGGCGAGCGCGACGCCGCCTGGGACGCGGGCGCCACGCGCGCCGACGGGCGCCAGGCCCAGTGTCCGATGCCAGCCATCTCCCAGCTCGCGGCCCCGGACTGGGCCCACGTCGGGGGCCTGACAGATGCGGGCCCGGCGGCGCGGAGCCCGCGCGCCCCGCCTCCGGCCCGCCGCGCCCATGGGCCGGAGTGGCGGCCGTCGCCCGACCAAAGCAGGTCATTGCGCACGAGACGGGAAGAGGGAGGAGGGGAGACGGGCTCGCAGCGAGGCCCACGCAGAATTTGGCGCCGACAGCGCAAACATCGCGAAGCCCAGACCGGGCCATCGCTGCGCCCCCCCCTCCAAAAAAAAAAAAAAAAAAAAAACGAATTGCGACGCCGCGCCCCGCGCGGCCCGAGCCTCGGGGCCCTGGCCCAGCTTGGACTGGCAGAGGGGGCCTGGCCCCACACTACCCCAGCGCTCCTCGTGACCTACCCCCTCGCCGCGCCAGGGTTGCTGGCGGCTCGACGCCGGCCATCCGCTGGGCCCCTCCCTCGCGTGCGCCGGGGGCCCTTGCCCTCCTTCGCCTTGCCGCTCATCGGCTTGCCCTTGCCGCCGCCCCCCTCGCCGCCCTCGGCGGCCGCCCGGCGGCTCTCCCGCGCGCGCGCCGCCGCGCGGAGAATAAAAAGACCCGTCGGGCTTCCTTTTGCGGCCCTTGGGGGTCGGCCGCTGGCGGGGGATGGAACAGCCGCGCCCCTCGGGGACGACCGCGCCGCGCGGTCGTCGCGCTGGCGCGGGGGCCAGGTGCCCGGCAGGCGACCCAGGTCCTCCGCCTGCTGCTCTCGCTAGCCTCCTGATTCGCGCGCAGCGGCTCCATGCCCCCCTCCTCGCCCTCCCATTCGCCTGCCTGGCCGGAGTCAGCCGGCTGGGCCTGGCCATCGCATCGCGCGCCGGGGGCTTGCAGCAGTTGCGCGCCGAGATATCGCAGCCCTTGCAGCACCGCCTCAGCGCCCCTGAGTTGGCCTACCCGCTCTGGCAGTTGAGCACCCCCTGGGCGCATATCCAATTCTGCCCCGTGAAGCGGTAGGTACACCAGCGCACCTGCCAGCCGCGGGCCGCGCAGTTTGGGAACGGCGGCACTGCCCCCCCCCTCCGCCCCAGCCCGCATCCACTGCCGGCGGCGCTGATGCCCACAGCACCTGGAAGTCGTCGCCCGAAGGACTTGCATCCCGCGCGCGGCGCTGCCAGCGCAAGCTTCGCGCCCTCGCGGCGGTGGAACTCGCCAAATGCCATGGGCTGCCTCTTCCACCGCCCATCGTGGACGAGACGAAGAAAAAGCGTGGTACTGAGAAATCACATTCTCCAGGTGGTACTTCCTGCCCGCGAGAGGCACCTGGGACAGCCTGACCGCTCGCTCCGCCTCCTCGCCCGTGCACTCGGCTGCTGGCTCCGTCTCGCGCCTCGGACGGCGGCTGCGCGTGCGCGACGGTGGCCTCGCTTCCTCGCTTAGCCCGCGGCGCCTGCGGGGCTTGCAGTCGCCGCCCCCCTGCGGCGGTCGCGCTCGGACCTGCCCTCCAGCGGGGGAGGGGCCTCCGCGCCGCCGCGGATCGCCCTATCCCCTGGCTGCCAGGGGCGCGCTTCGCGCGCCGCGCGCCTCGGGGCTGGGCGGCCGGCCTCCT